CGCTGTCTCACATATATTCAACCCCCACCCTTCCATTCTCTCTCTCTCTCTCTCTTTCTCTCTCTCTCTCTCTCTCTCTCTCTCTCTCTCTCTCTCTCTCTCTCTCTCTCTTTCTCTCTCTGTCAGGATCTAAAAATGCATTTCTTTTGGGAGGGATTTCCAAATCTTGGAGGACTGGGAAGAAAAAGACTTTCCAGCTAACTTATCGACCGTAAACTGAGCATTCTCATAAGATTTCCATTTGCGAATCCCACCTGTCTTTATATAGTGCATGACTCAACAAAATCTTGTGTGTTTTCTTGCTCATGTGCTTGTGGCATTAAAGAACAATTTCGTATTCTACTGTATCTTTCAGTAGTAGCCAATGTAGCTTAATCAGTGTCCCACCCAGCAGCTTCTTCATTGCGCAAGTTGAACTAAAATTTTATTATGATATCAAGGACTTCTCAGTGAATGGTTCTTACCTTTTGCTATTGCCAGCTTACTTGGGGTGTTGAAGTTATACCTTTTACTCCGTAAAATTCCCTGAAGAAAACAGAATTATATAATGTTTTAGCAATTGTCATTGCTATACAAGAAAATGCAGTACACATTTTCTCTCAAAGATGTCTGCCACGCAACAGCATACTTTCCATCCTCACCTCATTCCACCCACCTTTCCAGCTCATCTTATTTCTCATTCACCTTTAACTGTATGTCTGTTTGTTCGTGTGTCTGTGTGTCTATCTGTGTGTCTGTATGTCTGTATCGAAGTCTGTCTATCTCTCTATCTCTGTCCCTCTTTGTCTGCCTGTCTATATGTATCTGCATCAGTCTGTCTGTGTGTCTGTCTGTCTCGCCTTCTATCTATCTATCTATCTATCTATCTATCTATCTATCTATCTATCTATCTATCTATCTATCTATCTATCTATCTATCTCCCCTTTTCACTTCTTTTCCCCTTTTCATTCTCTCTCAAATTCAAACACACAAAAGGAGAAATAAATGCCTGACAATACAGTTTCACAAACAAGTACCGTAATACAACTGTGAAACTAACCTCCAAGGACCCTCTAGAACAGAACTCCCGGACACTGCAGATTCCACCCTGACTGACCATACCGTAGAAGCGAGCCACACAAACATGGCTGATGATGTCTTTCATCCACAGAATCTTTAGCTTTCGAGAAATGTTCATGTTGACGTTGTAAACTCCAAGGTCCTTTATGGCTACCAGCTTGTTGTTTAGTTGGCCCAACTTTATGAAAGAAAAAAAAAGACAGACTTCCTTTTAGAAAAGGAGAGAAAGACAGCAAAAGATGAAAAGAAAAAGAATGCAGGGAAATGTAATGTACGAGTATAGAGGCTTGAAAATGAGAGTTCATGTCAAGGTAAACATTTGCACACAAAAAATACACACGCACTGATGCACACACACATACACACACACACACACACACACACACACACACACAGACACACGCACACATACACACACACACACACACACACACTCAAACAGACACACACATTCACATATGCACACACATACACTTATACCTCTTGAAAGATGAATATCTGGGGAGCTTTTAAAGCTCTCAGCCCACTTGGCTCAGTCCAAAAGATAACTTTGTGAGGCTTTTAAAGCAACTTCCAGTGTAATGAATTAAAGCGTTAAGAACGTAACGTCACTTTTGATCTCAACCTTTTCAGTTTCATCTACATTCTTCCCACGCGCCTCTCACTAGATCTAGTTGTTGTCTGGTGTAGTAAACTTCAGCAGGAAGTAAAAAGTTGAACTTCAGATCAGAAATTTTGAAAAACCAGCAGGCAACTACCTCTGGGATCGAACAGGGAGAACCCAAAAAGAAAAAGGAGGATCAGAATTGCATCTCAATAAACCAAGCCAAAACAACCCCCCCTCGCCCACAAAAAGCACTCACCATATAACCGGCTTGAGAAAAGACAGCGCTCTCATTCACGGTCTCTAGCGTCATCAGAGACTCCGCACCCAGACCATTGCTTCCAGGAATGGGCGATGACGTCAGCTGTTTTGGCTTGAAACCGTTCTCTGCACCATCCTCGTCGAGTTCGCTTGCTGAATCTTTCAGATTTGTCTCTCTGATTACTTCCAAGGTATCGTCCCTCAGTCCGGACAGCGATTTCGTCCCGTTGACGTTGTCTGTACTTTTCTGGTGCTGTTTCCACGAGGTATCGATAATGACAATATCGCCCATGTTGATCCGCCACTCGTTTCTGAAGACAAAGAATTTTTGGAATGTAAAGTACTGTTACGAAGTGAGATTAAAATAAAAACATACCTTTCTCTTTAAAAATCCATATTTCTTTCTTTTTACGTCTGTTTGCGTATTCGTTCTTCCTTGTTAAACATTTGGAGTCTTCTGTGTGCTTCCGCGTTGATTTACCGTCAGCTCCCTCCCTTCAATGTTTAATCTAGCTAATGTCTACGCACTTTCTTTACTTGAACCTTTCCGTCATTCTTTCTCCATTTACAATCAGTCTTCTGTGTTATTTGCTTGGTCTTGGGAAACGAAGGGAAACGGGTAACATGGAAGGGACTGGTGGTTTTTTAAATGATCGCTGGATAGCTTGATGGTGCAGAATAGAAAAGGAAAGTAAAACTAGTAGGACAATGATTGATATACAAATAGATAGATACGGAAATAGTTTGAGAGGAGATATAGCTGATAGGCATTGCGAAAAGGAAGAAATGGAGGGGGGGGGGGAATAGAATGAAAATACAGAAAATTGTCTGGCTTATAGTGACAGAAATAGATAGATGGATGAATGGATGGATGGATGGATGGATGGATGGATGGATGGATGGATGGATGGATGAATAGATAGAGAGATGGAGAGAGATAGACAGATAGATAGATAGATAGATAGATAGATAGATAGATAGATAGATAGATAGATAGAAGGGATGGGTTGATAGGGATATACAGTTTGTCACCTGAGGAGTCCTCTGTAGATGATGATCTTGTGTCTGGCCATATACAGCAGCAGCAACAACAAGATGATGACGAGGAGAGGCACGGACACAGACACAGGGATATACCACGTCTGCAAGGTTTTAGTGTTAGTTTTAGAGAAAAAAAATGTCGGTACTTGAAATACATCATCATCATCATCCAGTGCCAGATCTGCGACAGACATCTGTGATCATGGTTCTCTATTCATTCCTTTGCTCTGATGCTCTGAAAAAAGGTCCTTTTCCCTGGTCTTACACATTTGTTTAGGTTCCCTAAGTATGTTGTTCGTTCTGGGTCTATCCCTGCCTCGCTTGCCCTCAATTTTGCCAGTGAAAGCTAGATGTTCAAGACCCTTATGTCTATTCAGGTGTCCCAAAAACTGTATTTGTCGTTTCCTGATTGTTTTTAACATTGAGCGTCCCACGTGGGCTTCACCAAGCACTACCTCATTTGATTTCTTCTCCTTCCACGATACTCTTTGCATACGATACATATAGGTCTTATAAGTGTCGAAGATTAGAGCCCCCCCCCCTTGGGGTAGTGCCACTGACTGTAGTGTCTTTAGGCTATTCCCGAAGGGGGCACATTTCTCGTTCAAGAACAGTAGAATAGTAAATGGGCTGATTCATGTCACGCTCATAACTGTGCCTGATCTACAACAGGGAACTGCTGCTTTTTCTTTCCTAATCCTTATTATTGTCCTTTTTCCTCTACTTCTTTTGTATGTTTGTCACTCTCTTGTGACCTGCTATTTCCGGGGTGCCTTGATAGTCGAAGCTGACCTTGTGCTGTTGAAGCTAGAGAGGTGAGCAGAATAAGTCTGATTACCTGTAAAGGCTTCTCTGTTGACGCCCACCCCTTGGCGCTAATATGACCTTATGCAGTTGCGAGCGCCGTAAAACCCTCTACTATAAAAAATAATGAAGATTAGAGGTGTTACTACTAGGGAATGACGAACAAAGAAAAGGAGAAGAGATGAGGACGATATATTTTTATGTGGAAAAATGAGCAAACCATACAAGCGCACCTGCCAACAAACCACCGTCTATAAAGAGACAAGAAAAGAAAATAAGATGTGGACAAAGACAGTGCTTCATTATCAGATTCAATCACTACATCTGATGCCAAATGTTCCACAGAAATCAACCGGAAAATCGCAATAGCTAAAGATAGCTTCAATAAAAGAAGTCCAATCCTGATAAATACAAACATCTCAATGTCTACTAGATAAAATCAGGGTTCTGAAAGGCTATGTGTGATAAACCTTTTATTTGGCTGTAAATATTAGACAATTACCAGAGACAGTGAAAAAAAAAAGAATAGACGCAACATTAATGTGGTTTATCGGGGGACTTTTGAGAATTTCAAGGACAGAAAAGAAATCATGCAATGTAATAATGAATGAAGTCCAGGGGGTCTGCTCATAATGAGAACAACTACGAAGCCACAAAATGCAGTTTTTAGGACAATTAATTCGACATTAGGGCTCTCAACTTCTTCCTCAAGCTGGAGAGATAGAAGGCAAATGAGGCAGAGACAGACCCAGAAAAACTTACTTGGAAAATCTGAAGAGATGGGTGACGCGGAAACAGCAGGATAACGTCGGATTTTTTAAAGCATCCGAATGGAAAAATAAATGGAGAACCGCGATCGCTGACGTACGATGACGACGATGATGATGATGATGATGATGATGATGATGATGATGATGATGATGATGATGAAATCATGATTGTAAATGTTTAAGTTTATTTCCACACAATTCAGATAATTTAAAAAATGGGCTGCTTCAACCCTGCCTCCTGGGCCAACCCAGAAAAATACAAGAAAACAAAGTTATTATATTTGTTAATGTAGGGTAAGACAAACCTCTCTTAAAATACACCATCTTCATTAGAAACATTTAGAAAATGCATCAATACGCTATAAAATGACCATTTACTCATCTGACGAAGGAAAATAAAATTTTTAATGAGATACAATACGACTAAAAATAGAAAGATGCCACTTTGTAAGGCGAGTTTCATCATCTTTACGACCCCACCGTAATTTAGAGGGTGTTTATTCTTTGTACGATCTTGTTGCCTCATAATGATCTGCTGTGCTCAAGACTCTCGGAGCTCTTAATAGGATTACAGAGCAAGCATAAAAGCGTAGTGATTGAAGTCTCCAAGGCAGCTGAAGGATTGATTATCCTCGAGGCATTCGCTTCGCATTCCCTTTAGGCATCGTTCTTTTGTAAGGTAGAAAGACTGACAGTCAAAGGTCAATAATAATGTATTACAGCTGTACACTCAATATGTGACTTTTCACTGATGAGAGGTCTACGCTGAGTGGGCTGTATTATTTCTGTTTAAGTACAATGAAAGTTTTCAAGCCCATGTGTCTAATACGTTTTGACTTTGATTCGTACTGAATTAGAATGTTCGTTATATTGCCTAGTTGAGGAAAAGTTCAGATTATACAAGACAATATCTTACGTGATTACTTTAACTACCGTGCCCTTCTTGCTGTGGTATCTACGAGTGGAGTTGTTTTGCTGCTGCTGTTGTTGTTGTTGTTGTTGTTGTTGTTGTTGTTGTTGTTTTGTTGTAGTTGTTGCTGTTGTTGTTTTTAATGAACCCAGTGGCTTAGAAGTCTAATGACAGTGTTGAAGTGAACGTTACTCTGAAGTACAACCTTCTACATAACGTATACGGATAAAGAAAAAGAAGTAAAATGTATCCAAACCACAGTATTCCTTTCCGTCTTACAATACTCTCTCTCTCTCCCTCCCCCCCTCTCTCTCTCTCTCTCTCTCTCTCTCTCTCTCTCTCTCTCTCTCTCTCTCTCTCTCGTTCCTCTTTCTCTTTTTCTCTCTCGCTATTTCCTTCTCTCTTTCCCTTTCACTCTCTCATACTCTCTCAATCTCTCTCGCTATCCCTCTTTCTTTTTCCCTTTCCCCCTGCTCTCTCACTTTCTCGCCTGCTCTTGCTCGCTTTCGTTTTCTTTCTCTCTCTCTCTCTCTCTCTCTCTCTCTCTCTCTCTCTCTCTCTCTCTCTCTCTCTCTCTCTCTCTCTCTCTCTCTCTCTCTCTCTCTCTCTCTTCTTTGATAGGTCTATCTCCCTCTAGGTGTCTCTATCTATCTATCTATCTATCTATCTATCTATCTATCTATCTATCTATCTATCTATCTATCTATCTATCTATCTATCTATCTATCTATCTATCTATCTATCTATCCTGTACATATCTAATAGTACCTGCTGTGAGGCTTCTTCGGCCTTCTTGGTGTCCAGCACCATGCTGTAGATATTCCGGCCACGACAGGTCATCTTCTTGACCACCAGGTCCATGACCCGCGAGGACACGGCGGGAGACAGGGGAACCATATGGTTATTGACGCACTCGCGTCTAGCAGAAAAAGAAGGGAGGGGGAGGGGATGTTATTTGTCTGTTTTAGTAAGAATTTTACGACACTTGCAAATTAATTAAGTCATATGGTCCCTCTTAAGCACAGGGGGGCTATCCCGAAAAATGCTGCTTTGAGACAATCGAAAGTAAAGTTTTGCCCCTTGTAGAGTTTCTTTTAAAGACAAGGAGAGTTGTCTCTATAACCAAACAAATATAGACCTACACACCAATGAAACCAAACCTCTCCTATAGGTTCACTTTTGGTGTAGGTCAAGAATTCTGGAAACCCGAAATCTGGGTTAGCCCGCTTGTCCTCAAAAGCGGCCATAATTTAAGTGAGGAAGATTTGAGGTGTTACAAGACAGTAACAAACAGAAAAAGAAGGAGGGAGGAATAAGGCAGATAAACAAACAACACCAGAGCACTCGTCAACCACCCCTGTTGTTATTTGACTTCAGTGAGGCCGAGGCGATATACAGAAGTGTAAATCAAATGTAAAGGCGTGAACAAGAATGCTCATTTTTGTGTCTTTATTTTGAGAAGGCTTGCTTCTCCACTTTGGGTATCGATGTTCCATTGATTAAACCTCGGCCCATTAGGCAGTGATGGGAGAGGAGGTTTCTTTGTTTGATTGTTTGTGTAAAGAGAAGCACTTCAACACAATAATGGCCTTTTAGTGCTGGGAAAAATTTTAACAGACAACCAGAAAGAGCAGAGGGAAAGGGAAGAAGTAGGACTTACCAGCGGCACCCTCCAACCACCCGCGGGAGAGGGGGGTGGTGGTCAGGCACAAGCAATAAAAGGGAATTATCACAGGGGAAATCGTGTAATCTTTTAGTCACGACAGAGTCCATTTTGAAGATAACGAGGCAGGATTAGGATGTAGGGGGCAGCAGAATAAAAGTGAGACATAGGTTTGTCTAAACGTGAAGTGTCTCAATAGTTGGGAGTGCCTGAGGAAATCATGTGTAAACTAAAATGCGATAAACGAAATAAGAGATAATTCATTTCTGGTACAGGAAAAAAAAAGAAACGAAAAAATTCACACTTGAGTCGTTCCAGCAGTCATTCACCAGCTTCTCTGCCGTCATATAGCTACTTTAAATCACGGGTGTTTAATAATCCACATTCGCTAGAATGTAGGCCATGAACGATTTTTTGTATTCAGTGATGTTGTGAGCTAAAGTCTTCAAGCTGAAAAAAATGCTCACAGTATAAAATGAGGTCACAATATAGCGGTGGAAAAAAATGCAAACTGAGTATTTTCTTGAGCATGCCAGTTGGTGAGCAGTTTTTCATTCTTCGAAAAGTGTCACCCGACCGAGGGGTATAAATTGACAAGAAGTAACGCTTTCTTCAGTCGAGTGTTTTGAACCAGCGGCCATGCCACGACACAGCGGAGCAAACCGAGAAAGGGCTATCGTCCGATTGCAGGCGGGAGAGAGTCCAACAGATGTCTCTAATGCCATGGGTGTGTCCCTCTCAACAATATGGCGACTCCGAAGATGTTTACAAGTTACCGGAAATACTCGTGATTCGTGATGCTCTCGGAACTGGCCGACCACGAGTGACGTCAGTACGCCAAGATCGTGCCCTTTTGTGGAATCACCTGCGAAACAGCTTCATGTGTGCTACCGAATCGGCCCTAAATCTCGTTGGAAACCATGAGAGAGCCATTTCAGGTCAGACCATGCGCCGCCGGCTCCGAAGGATAACTGCAATGTCGTCGACTTTTAAGACGTGCAGTCCTCTTTGCAAGACATTGGTAGCAACTTTTGGCGTGGGCTCAGCAACATGTGAACTGGAACTGGCGATAGTGGAGAAATGTCCAACTCACAGACGAAAGCCGTTTTTGCGTCAGTCGAGGAGATGGAAGAATCCGGATATGGAGTAGACCCAACCAACGATTTGCTGACAGCAACGTCCTGCAGTTCGACGCATGGGGTGGTCCCAGCATAATGATGTGGGCAACACTTTGGGCCCGTTGTTTTCCAGAACATTGGACCTGGTCAAGGTAATGGTGTTAATTGCACAGCGCTACATCTAACAGGTACGGGCGCCTGGGATCATATTTCATTTCCAACAACACCCGAATCTTATCCTGCAGAAAGGACATTGCTCGACCCCATACTGCAAGAGCTACAGCAGCTTTCTTACAGCAGAACAATGTCAGGGTGCTGCCATGGCCCTCAATGAGCCCAGACCTCAACCCGATCAAACATTTCTGAGACCACATCCAGAGAGAACTAAATCGTTTTCAGCCAAGACCAACAAAAGCACCTCATCTGCAGCGAACCATCACATAAATTGGTGCAAATGTGAACATGGCCATCATTCACAGACTTTTGAGGTCAATGCCAGACAGAGGCCAAGCTGTTGTGAACGCAAATGGCGGGACACACGCTATTGATTCAAAGTTCACGTCACCGACTTATGGACATATCCGTTAACTCCAGTACATCATTTTTCACAGCAAATTCATCTTGTTTTCTCTCCACCGGGACTGTTAATCCTTACAGAAGAATCCTCTTCAATAAATGTGACCAAAAAATAAATAAATTCACAAATTACTAACCAATTTCCTTGTCTTCCTTTATTTTGTATATCACTTGCGTTTCTTTTGTTGTTGAGTATATATTATGTGCATCTAATTCTGCTTTCAAGAAAATAAAAAGTTACGGACTCAAATGCCTGGAGAGTTTCATAAAATAAACCGTGTCTGTTATTTGTGTCTCACTCACATGGCGATCGCATCGCTGTAGAACCACTCTATGTATCTGACCAGCTCTTCCGCTGTCTTGCAGTTTGTCATCGTATACATCCGCACAATAAGATACGTGTAGCCCACCAGTGGGTACGAGATGTCGCCGTAAGGTTCCACCAGGTCTAGGGTCATCCGTTTGTCGAATGCGTACTGGTAGGAAGGTAAAGGGAATAAAACAAAACCAAATAAGTCAAAATTGTTTAACACTGGTATCTGTTGTCGAGGAGAAAATTGGCCGTCTTAGACAGGCTACCGTCTTACACATTGTCATGATAGTTTTACCGGTGGTCGTTAGAGCAGGTTTGACAGTAGATAGAAAGGGTTTCCTCATCTATTGTATTCATTCAAAATTTGGTCAGGTGAGAAATGATTCTACATCATAAATTCGTTTGCATCATTTTCCCATAAAACACTCAGTCTCATTTTCCAAAATTTGAGAAAATTGAAGGAAAAGAGAGTACGCAAATGAGAAGCACGAGGGAGTTCTCATATTTTTCGATTATAAACTAGGGAGGGAATAACGAAATCTAACGAATCTCTACATTGTAAGATGCCCCTTGATGTCTATGTTCGAGTAACAGCTTTATCTGAAAAGCCTCAGAAATTGAAGTGGGCGGTCATGGAAAGACACTGACAATGTGTATTAGTTAAAACAGACACAAGTTAAAATAATATAAAAAAAGACCCAGGCACATCAGTTTTCGCTCTTTTATCAATTTGTCAGAGCTGGATGTTTGACAACTTTTCTTGGCAACTAGTTCATTTCTGTTTGAAGTAAGGCTCTGTATTATGGAGATTTTCAGGATGGTTAACCTTGAACTCTCTTGCTGGACGGATACTAAATGTACTGTTCGCAAAGCAGGATGCATCCCGCGGGTCTTGAGTTTAACTTTACACATGTTTCTTAACAAATAACGACAGTAACAATGAGTCACATGACATACCTGGAAGTCATCCATAGCGCTCTGAACAGACTCCACCGACGGTTCCACAAAGTTACCGGCAATGTTTCTGAGAACGGCGTAATTAAGAGAAGCCGCCACAGAGTCTGGGGAAAATGTACCGTTGTTACTAAACTGGTTTATAGGTAAGTGTTGTTGAATGGTAAATCTAACAACAATAATCAACCACGGTTGATCAGAAATGCAGTTGTGAGTCAACAAGCGTTCAAAATTGTTACCCTCACGATTTTCAGTTTGTGACTACCGTCGTTTTTCCTCCTGTAATCTTCACATTACGTTTGTTAATAAATCTCTCTGCACTCCTTTAGTTATGCATTAAAATGTATTCCTTTCTCACTCTCTCCTTCAACTAAACCTACACCTCTCTCTCGTTCAATCCCTCTTCCCCACTCTCTCTCTCTCTTTCTCTCTCTCTCTCTCTCTCTCCCTTTCTCTCTCTCTCTTTCTCTCTCTCTCTTTCTCTCGCTCTCTATGACTCCCAGTCTCTGTCTGTCAGTCAGTCTGTCTGTCTGTCTGTATGTCTCTCTCTCTGTCTGTCTGTCTGCATGTCTCTGTCTGTCTGTCTGTCTGTCTGTCTGTCTGTCTGTCTGTCTGTCTGTCTCTCTCTCCTCTCTCTCTCT